AAAAAAAAAAAACCTTGACTATCATTTGGCCATCTTTTGACTATTGTCCTTTGACTATCTTTTGTCCATCTTCTCGTGTGGGGCCGGACGCGCAGCTCCCACGCAGAAGGGAAAGGTGTCATAATATATAATCTGGGGTATTCTTTGCCGAACGGGGCCCCCCCATCACAAATTTTATTTTCCTTTTGGGGTTGCTGAAACGGCGCAATAATGCACGTCGCGCTGCATCATAATTTCCCTTTTTTTTAAGATGGCCTAGACTTTCTGATCTACGCGACTGTTTGCTTCACTATTCTTTTGTCCCAGCGCTGTGGGATTATATAATTTGTTGCAGTTCCGCTGTTTCGCATTTTGTCATTTTGCCATTTTTTTGAGCTTTTTTCCCATTTTTTCTAATTTTTCCGACTTTTTCTCACTCTCCTCTGTTTTTTCCTGTTCCTTCCTGTTTTTTCCTTTTTTTGGCTACCCTCGGACCAACGCTGCAGATCACCGCGAACAAAACGCAGTTGCGGAAAAGAGCTATCCCTCTTTTTAGCGAAGCCAAAATGAGCAGCTGCATTTTGGGAGGTCCCCCTGAACGTTGGCGCAAAAAGGGGTGACAGCCCCACCCCTGCATGCGCATACTGGGCGAGGGGGCAGGAAGGCCACCATTCTCTTTGGATCTCCGCAGCGCTGCGTAGAACAAATACAAACGTACCTGCATACGTACGTGCATATGTACGTGCATGTAGTTTAGTCCCGTTTTCTCCCCTTATGAGAAACGCCGGACTCGTTTTGTAACCCAATCCCAGCAGCGATCTTTAATGTGGAGCAGAGGAAGGGAACAACTTGCGCGCCTGAGCTGATATGACTCCATACCATCCGCAGTGTTCCTTCCCCGCCCCCCAGAGGCAGCGCCAAAAATGAAAGTGAAGAAGGCGCGCACGAAGGGAGGCCTCGCCCGCGCGGGAAAGGGGAAGAAGAAGGTTACCAAGGGGAGTAACGCTCAGTCTGGAGTCCTACAAAGGAAGGCCAACGTGAACCGCTCAGTGCCTAAAAAAACAACCTCCATAGTGAAGAAGCCAGTTCGAGGTGCAGGTAGTAAGCGATACAGTTGGTTATTCCAAAAAGGGGGGGAGAAGACCCAACCTGCTTCCACGAAGGGGGGAAAAATGTCCCCCTCAGGTGGAGACAGCCCCGATAGCGATGAGGACGAAGCGGAAAGTGGAGGTGGAAGCGAAGGTGCAGGCCGAATCACAAATCGAATCGAACGCGAGGGAGGGGCCAAAGCGAGAAAAAAAAAGTTCGTCCTGTACAAGAACAAAAAGGGGAAGAAAAAAAAAAAAAAAAACAGAAACAAAGGAATGCTGACCTGCTTCCACAACCTCGGTCTGAGCGAAAACATGTGCCGAAGCATATCCAGTAATTTGAAATATAACCGACCCACAGACATACAAAAATTGTGCATCCCCAAAATACTGCACAGGAAGGACATCATATGTATAAGTAAAACGGGGACGGGGAAATCGCTCGTCTATGTGAGCACACTGGTAGACCTCCTAGCAGAGCACAGTCAATTTTTCGGAGTCAGAGGCTTAGTGTTGGTGCCCACGAAAGAGCTAGCCATTCAGATCTTCAAATTGTCAAAAAAAATATGCAAAAATTTTTTTAATTTAAAAATAAATGTAATAATCGGTGGAATTAATTTGAACAAGCAATTCGATATGCTGAAGGAAAATTTAGACATCCTGATATGCACCCCGGGAAGACTGAGCTTTATATTGAAAGAAACAAACTTAAGTCTGGAGAAAGTGGAAGTGCTGATCATTGATGAAGCTGACAGGCTCCTGGAGTTAAACTATTTCAACGACATGAATAATATTTACAAAGCTCTGCATCGTACAAACAAACAGACGTTACTAATCAGTGCAACTCTCCCAACGGATGTACAAAACTACTTCAAACTGAAGTTAAACAATCCGGAAGTGTTGTCCCTCAGTTCAGATAATACGATAAGTGATAAAATGAATTTACACTTTTTATTCACCAGATCGTATGAGAAGTATGGAGTGTTAATTAAATTAATTTTCCTTTTTAAAAAAAAAAAACTCGGAAAAACTCTCATTTTTTTCTGCACAAAATATCATATTTTATTTTTTTCCAAAATATTATCCTCTTTGAAAATTCATCATGCCATGTTGTATGGAAATTCAGACACCTCCTTTCGCTTCGATCAGATTAAGAAGTTTACCAATAGTGAGGAGATCCAATTTTTGCTCGTGACTGATGTTGCTGCCAGGGGGATAAACATCACCAGTGTTCAGAACGTAATAAATTATAACTTACCCTTTTCTCCAAAACTCTTTATTCACCGCGTCGGTCGTGCCTGCAGGGATGACGCTATGTCAAGTGGCTACGCTGTATCCCTTGTCACCTACCAGGATGTCCTGTATGCCTACGAGATATGCTTCTTCATAGGCAAGAAGCTCAAATTTTTCAGGCGCGCCGTGGAGAAGGTAGGCCAGCCCGCAGAGGCGGCTAAGACGAGCGATAATGTGGGGATCATCGACTCAGACGAACCAACAGACGTCGCAGACATCGCACACACCGCCGCCGCCGCGCACGCCCCCCTCCCTCGCGACGTCGTCTATCTCGGCTCGCTCAACCATGTCAGCGACTACATCGAACTTGTGGACACCCAGAAAAACGCAGACGAGGAGCTGGGCTCTCTCAACAGGAGCATCCTCGCCTCCTACAAACTGTACTACGCCATGAGACCCAAAGTGTCAAAATACGCAAGCACAGAATGTGTCAATAAAATTAACAAAATAGGCGGCGTTTACAAACTCTGCTTGTTTTATCACCCTGATGAAATTTATGAGAATGTTCCATCCGATGGTGCAAGAGAAGAAAATCCTCCCCGGGGTGGAAAGCAGCCGAATGGGGAGGAGCTGGCGCAAGTGGAGAGGAAATTGGGATATGTTTTATCGAGCGATGTTGTATCGGGCGATGTTGTATCGGGCGATGTTGTATCGGGTGATGTTGTATCGGGCGATGGTGTGATTAGCTCTCCGAACGGGGGGGAAGCAAACAGGGAAGGAGTCACCAAAGTCGGGGAACCCCCTAGAGGAGCCCTCGCCCAGCCGAAGAATTACACTCACAACGAACTCATGACGATCATCCACAATTTCCAAAGCAATGACAGCGGGAAGGTGAGAGGAATATCAGACGACATCAAAGATAAGTTAAACAAACTGAAGGCGAGGATGCATACGACTAAGCGGGCCCCAAGTGGAGAAGACATGGACGACATGGACGAACTCATGGGCGCCCTTGCCATGGGTCTCTGCGATCACGAGCATGATAGCGATTACGAATTGGAGCAATTGTGGAAGGACCGCGAAAATGGTAGTGGAGGCCATTCGGGGGAAGGTCAAACGGAACTAAGTAACAAGCCGAAGAAAATGAGCAAGAGGGCGTTAAAAAAGAAGAAGAAGGAGGAGCAGCAACAGGAAAAACAGAAGCAAGAAGGGAAAGAAGCAACATGTGTGGAACCCACGAAGGAGGGTCCCCCCATAGAACAAGCTTCCCCAAACGGAAACACCAGAAGAAGCAACATCAATATCCCCTTTGATGAAATATTAGAAAAAATAAATAAGAGAAAAATGAAACAAGAAACAGCCGCAGCATTTGCCATTAAAACTCCTGGATTCGACTTACCTCCAGATGAAGAAGAAGAATTGAACAAACAGAGATTCCAAAAGAGAAAAGTTTGGGACATGAGGAAGAGAAAATTTGTCCTACAAGAAATAGACGTCTTCCAGAGTGATGATTTCAAGAAGAAGGACAGACGGAAGGATGTTGAGACACCTGGAAAAGGGAACCACGGGGAAGGTGGCGCAGCCGAACCGACTAGCAACCTCTACCATAAGTGGGTGAAGCGCACAAAGAATCGAATCAAAAATGTAGGAGAGCTGGAAGAGAAAGGAAACCAAAAGGGGGCAAACACTTCTATGAGTACGAAACGGGCGCAGGGCTACTCAGAGGACCATACCACAAGTAACCAGCTGGACGACGAAAAAGAGACGCATTTGCAAATGCTGAAGCAGAACCATCCCGAGATTACCGATTCGTTGTCCAGAAATATGAAGCTGACTAAGAAGCAGCAGAGGCTGTACAAGAAATACCTCTCGGGCAGATATATGGATCCAAAACCAGACTCCGCTCTACACAAAAGTCTCCCACAGATGCAGAAGGAGAAGGCCAAAATGCTACAGAAAAAACTCAGAACAGATAAGAACTTCCGCATGAGGTATGCACGCATGAAGAAGAAGCGGCACGAACAGAAGCTTCGGGAAAAGGAGAACCTGAAGGGCGCCCGCGCGCGCTCCCTGGCCATTGTTAAGAGGAAGAAAATAGCCAAGCGTGGCGGCAAGGCGCGGAAGTGATGCGATTGGAAGTGAATCCACGAAAAGCGTGAACAGCAGACAGGCGAAGCGTTAACAAGACATAATTTTTAAATGTGCACAGATGACCCTCGCGAGAGATCACCTCGCTCGCGCCCTGGAAATATGCAGCCCCCCCGATTCCATCCCGAATGAAGTGAAAGAGAGTTGTTAAAATGTCCCTTCAGAATTGAAAAAAAAAAAAAAAAAGACGCGCACGGAGGAGCGGCCCCTACCACCTGCTGCGTATTTTTCGTACAAAAAAAAGGTACTAAACAGATGAGGACAAGAAGGCGAAGCGGACGTTCGTCATACATAAGAACAATACAGACGAACAGTGCATACGAACAATGCATGCCCATCGTGAAGGCACAAACAGATGGAAAATGGTGTGCGCCTGTTTAATTGGATGCATGGAGAGAGAGATCCCCCGTAATGTTATTTATTTTTGTGTTTTCTTTAATTCTTTATCATGTTTTTTCATTTTTTTCATACTTTTAATTTTTTTCAATTTTTTCATTTCTTTCACCCTTTTCATTCCTTTTCATCTTTTTCCCCGTTTCACAAGCGTGTTCGCCGATCCCCAAGAAGGGGATAGCCGAAGGGGGGTGCTACTTTTCATCGCCCCAAACATCACGTGTTGGTATTCCTCAAATAATTTTTCAAGTTACTTATTCTCTTATCAAGGTCATTGAAGGAGATGTTTAGAATGTTCGATTCTTTCAAAGGGTTATTCACAGCTTTACACTGCGCCCCCCCTTTGCCTGGATTCCCCACCTTTTCAGCGGCCTTGCCACCATCCCGGCCGCAATCACTGCTGCTCGTACTGCCGAAGGACAAGTCACGGTAATCCCTTCGCTTCGAGACCAGTATGTCTTTCCTCCTTTTTAACTCCTCTAATTCCTTTCTAAAATTTTCCTTTATGTCTGCACCTATGCTTTTCTTTACACTTCCTAACACGTCTTGTGGCTGTTTCGTTTCGTTTGTTTTCAACTTGGTTCCAGTTACATCTCGCGACTGGATGTGACTCCCCTTGGCGTTCGAATTTGCCTCGTTTGTTTTTTTTCCCTTCCTGATTAGGACCGTTCCAGTGGTAACTTCTTTGGTACGTCCTCTCGCAGATACCCCATCATGCTTCTTCGCACTAGTGGGGACGGCGGCAGCAGGCATAGTGGTAGGTGCTGTGGCAGCAATAGTGGTAGGAGCAGTGGCAGGCATAGTGTTAGGAGCGTCCGTAGGCACATTGCTGGGTGTGGCGGTTGAAACAGCGGGCGGATTTTTCTTCTCCCTCTGCTTGTCCAAGTACAGTTTGACCCTTTTAATGGAGTCCCCGCTGTCGCTCAGTTCTTCGTGGTCGTCCTGATTTTTCCCCTCCGATTCATTCACCTGTGAAACGCTCCGTTCAGTGGCCTTCCCGCGGCTATCTCTCCTTTTCAAACTTGTTTCCCGTTTAAACGCATAAGCTGAGGTGTATTTCTTTCTAAGAATCCTCTCATGGTGAGCATAATCGAACAAATCGCAGTTGATTTTTTTTCTTACTGCTGCTGGAGTTAATTTACTAAGCTTTTCTATACTCAACTGTTTCCCACACCAATCTGTTTTCGCTTCCACATCTTTTCCTCCATTAGCTCCTTTCTGAAGACATGACGAGTGTCTATTAGACACTTTCTCACTCCTGCCAGATAGCATGCTCGCCTTTGAACTGTAGTAATTTTTTATGTCCTTGGCAATCGTCATGTTTATATCACTGGACATGTTACGCATATGGTTGCTATTCGAAATGAGGTGGCTTTTCAGCTTGAACTTGGATTTCGAGGAGCAGCTCCTATTGGAGTGGAAAGAATCGCAGCCTCTTCCTATGGGCATACCCATGCGATCTTCACATGGTTTGTCATTTGTTACCTTTCTGCCCATAGGAATGGAGTGAACGAAATGGGGTCTCAACTGGTCTCCGAAATGGTCCTTGAAATGTTTTTTCACGTTGCTGGATCTGTCCACGTCTCCACTGGTACTATTAGCTGCCTGTACTTTCCCCGAGTGAATCACTGGATTGTGATCACTCCTTCTTCTGGACGTGTCACTAAACCTTCCAGTAAAATTGCGCATACTCATTCGCTTGTTGTTGTGTATACTCGCGTTGATGCTTCTCATCGAAACGTTTGAAAATTTCGCCTCAGAAAGGTTGTCCTCATAGATGCGACTTCGTCTGCGACCGCGATCGTGGTGACTACCATGGCGATTACTGCCATACTTTTGTGTAACTCCCCTGTGGTGGTAATTTCCCTCCGAAATGTTTCCCTTTCTGTACCACCCGGCATGCTTGCCCTGTTCTGAATTCACATTGTTCAGGCCACCCCTGAAGGAGAACCCACTGTGGTCACTTCGTACGGAACCCCCTCTCTGGTGATTTAAAAAAAAAGTATCATTCTGTATAATCCCTTTTAACCTCTCTATCTTCCTCCTCAGATATTTTATTTCAATTTTGTAGTTCATTTCTCTCAGTTTATATTCCTGAATTTCCTTTTTCATTTTGTATATGTATGCCTTCATTTGTTCTTTGCTGAGATACCTGGCTTCGTCGTAGTAGCTGTCCAGGTTTTCTCCCTGCGACCTCGGGTCGGAGCAACCCGCTCCGTAGGAGTCCGTCCTCTGCGTTCGGGGCCGCACCTTCGGGGTTAGCAGCAGGGTTAGCACTATGGTTAGTAACAGGGGTGGTGTCTGCTGCGGGTTGGCCTCTCCCCTAGTGGCCATATCCCCCCCCTCTGCCACAAACACACACACATGAACATACAATGCAGGTGCTCATTTGACGCGCCTAAAAAAGGCAACCCCCTCTTTGGCTCCTCCCTCACCTGGCAATTCATTCTCCTGAACGGCTCCTTCGACGATCGCTTCGGGCAGGGAGGAAAAAAAAACAAGAAAAGAAAGTAAAACAAGAGAAACAAGAGAAGAAAGTAGAACAAAAAAAAAACCATGTTACACGTGATAATAAGGCCCCTATTCACTACTAACGTGGGTGGCAATTTGGACCTATCTGGTTACGCTCCGACGTGGAACCCCCGTGTAGCTAGGGAGCCAAACTCGAGTATTCACCTTTCGAACTTCCATTTTAGTGCGTCCCTCCCCCAAGGAGAGCAGGCTATTTAGGAAAAGAAATGCATGCAGGGGGGCATCATAAATTATGTCGTTTGGGCCGACTCAAATGGTGAAAATGTTCTCCAGTCTTAACCTTACGCTAGGCGTTCCTTCTCCTACCACATCCCCTCCTGTGTTCTTCCCTTTAGAGGTTTATTTTATTCTAATTTATTTTACTTTTTTTTTTTTTTTTTGTGGCAAAAATGAAGCCAAAAGAATGGCTACACACAGATTAACAATTGCTGAGCGGGGTTTAAAAAAAGTTGCGCTTTATGAACCTCTGGAAGGAAAAACCTTCACCCTTTTTCGATAGTAAAAAAATGTCTTTTTATTTGAATTTGTCACACTATATGTGTATGCACATCGGGAAGATAAAAACTGCATTTATTTCGCCTCTTTTTTTTTGCTGTTTTATGCTTTTCCTTAAGAAGGCAAATGCGCTCGTGCTCATTGGAGCGCCTGTGCGATTATGCCAATCTTTAAAAAGTGGAGAAAACAAAAACAAAAAAAAAAAAAAGGAAAAAACATTGCGATGTATTAGGAAACCAAAAAAAAGGCAATTTCAGCACTTTTAATTTAGTTACACCTTTATCTTATTTTCCCGCATTGTTGTTCCACAGTGCTATGTTATATGATATCCTAGCCCCGCGTGAACAAGGAAAAAAAAAAAAAAAAAATGCAGTCAGTACACGCCTTACGAGAAGAGTCAACTGCGCCGCGTAGAAGTTAACACTGTTGACGCGAGTTAGTTAGACATTCGAGTTAGCAACCAACGAGGGGACCAAAAAAAGGGGAAAAAGGAAAGCAATGTATGCCACTGAATATGTGACCCAGAACAGAGAAATACTTATCCATAAGCTATGCACTTATGACGCACTTTCCCGGGGGAGATGCAATTTGTCAGAACAGCTTTTTTCGAATTTTTTTTTTTTTTCCTCACCCCAACTTTATTTCCTTCCTCTGCAAAGTAGTGTGCCATTTTGTAATTCCACAAACATGTAATATAAATTTCGCCCCTGGTTGGAAAAATCGCTGCCATTGGGCCCAATTCATGGGTGATAATTCGCTACCCCCTGTTATATAGACCTATAATATGTGTACACTCGGGAGTTAACACAACTGTGGTGACGCAACAGCAGAGCAGTCGCGAGACAAACATGGGATAGGCCTAACATCTGCCAATTATCCTTCCAGTTGAGCGCATGTGTTACTTCTGTTTTGCATTTTAGGGGTGGAAGAGAATCAACAAAATTTCCATTCCCGAGGATCTACACAAATTGGAGCAATTTAATCAGAACACTCACGATCCGCCGCTCACATAATATTCGCACCCCTTTGTGCATTCCTCCAAATGGCCATTTCACCAATTTAAGCTTAATCATGCAGAAGGGTACACCTTCCCGTCACATGCGCATCCATTCTGTGTAGCTTCTTTTTTTTTCTTTTTTTTTTTCTGTTCCTCGCTTTCGAGGACTTTGCACTAAGGGGACCAATGTAGCGTAATTTCCTACATATACTGTTTATCGTCCACGCCGCCAACTCCTGTTCTTAATTTTTTATCTTTTCAAATAGCACCCTTTGGGACATCAATTTTTTTGCGGGTACGCCCCAATTTGCCAATCATCCCAAAGGACGAGCAATTTTCCATCCTATTGTTCCAAGCGCATTTCCACGTTTGTAACTTTTTTTTTTCTTTGACAAAAGCGGTCGGTCACGGAAAAGAGGTCGAGCATTGGTCGCACCGACCGCTTCTTTCACATGATAAAGAAGGTGAGGCATAGAAAAAGAAAACATTTTGCTAATATGTTTCCCCTTTGCAGCGCTGTTACGGAAGTATACGCGTGTGGCAGCTGCTTCACCCCCTTTGCGTTAGCACGTTGCCTCATGACGTCCGGCCAATTGCCGCGCAGTAGGCACCCCGTTTGGCCTCTGGAATTCACCCCTTAAAGCGCCGAGGAGCTACCGCCCTCAAAAGTCTGTACACAGATAGGCGCCACGTACATATGCACCCACATTTGCTAGAAAAAATACTTCGCAAATAAAAAAAAAAAACGCAACTAAGGCGCAGAAAATAGTTTGCCATTTTTGCAGTAGGCAGTGCGAATTCAAAGTGAAAACTTGAAGGGGGCATTGTTCAATCTTCGCAATGGGATAAGAATAAAAACGCCGCTAAATCGGTGAATGTATATAATACCCCGACCCTGGTAGAAGGCGCCAGCAAGCCAAGGCCCCCCCTTTTCCTCTGCCCTTTTTTTTTACTTTATTTTCTTTTCTTCATTTGGGGGAGTGAACTGCCGCAAGTGCGCAACCGTTTCTTTTTTTGTAGTGCCGTCCCCCAGTGGGGGTTGGGAAAATGCCTCCCTCTCTCTTCTTCTTCGGCTTTTAACCCTAGCACGATACATACCTTATAAAGTTATAAGCGCAGAAGATATTATCTCTATGCGACCGGACTCCATATGTGTTTTCGCAAACTGCGTCTCGCGCAGATGTAGGCGTAGGTGTAGCGTTCCGCGTGAATGACACGGATGTTTAATATTATTTGTACATGTTTCATACCGCGTACGAGGCACTGCTTTTCTCGTTTTTCCTTTTTTATCCCAACGTGTTTAACTACGACGTCGACATACTGCCGAACCGCTATTATTTGGTTTGCAAACAAAAAAAAAAAATAAGGTCAGCGGGAGAAACAAAATTTGGGGATAAGAAAATTAAATATTGGAAAAAAAAAGTTAAAAAAAAAAGTTACAAAAAAGTTACAAAACAAAAAATTACAAAAGAAAGTTCCTACATAAAGAAAACGAATTATGTAAGAGGATAAACGGAACACAAACCTTTTCACATCGTGTTGCAGGTTCTGTTTAAGTTTTCCTTTTTGTTTTTACCCCACAATCTTCCTTCCCCCTTCTTCACAAGTAAGAACTGTACAATTACGTGTACGCATACGTATGCATATACATTATTCGTATGCGTGGCACTACGCCAATTGTAGGAAGGAGGAGCCACACAATTGTGCGAAAATGAGTGTCGGTAGATGATTGATTCGCGTCGCTACATCATGTGAATGCCGCGCAACGTGATGGTAAAATCTTCCTAACGGCCTCATTCACGTATATTTTTGCATGACAACATGTATGGAAGTGTATGCAAGTGTACGCATGCTACGAAGCTGATCAGGGAGGAACATTTATGTGCTCCCCAGCCACCCCCTCTTTTATTTTTCTACATATAAGTAGAACCAGCGCGTTTTTTTTTTTCACGTATATCCTGTTATGTTGACGTGCCAAATGTGCCTTCCGTGTTGTCACGCCTCTTCCCCCTGTGTGTCTCATTTATGTGCCAACTGGGGAAACCACTCATCCGCTAACCAGTGGTTTTTATTTATGTTTATTTTTATTTATATTTATTTTTATTTATTTTTCTTTTTGATGCTCCCCCCGTTCTGACTTTACCAAACATACCCACACATATCGTCCCTCCCCCCCGCGTAGATCCCCGTGTCAAATAAATTTTAAAAATAATCCGAACATGGAAAACATAAAGGAAGCCGAAATATCCATAAAGGGTGTTCTGGAAGGAGGACACAGTGACTGGGTGACTTCTGTGTCAACGCCCACCGACCCAAAGTTAAAAACCATCGTGAGCGCGTCCAGAGGTAATGCCTAGCGAGCGTGTGCAAAAGGGAGGAGGCGTCTTACAATCGCGCACACAGTTTTCACCTGTACCCACGCTGTGCAGCCATTCGGTGTGTCGATCATGACAGCGCAGATCTCATGTCATCCTCACCCTCTATACGCTCAACGTAGCATTGATGAGTCACACCAGCACCCTGCTATCGTAGTGGACTCACTCACTATGCTGATCATCGCTCACGTGGAGCAACCAATTTGTGGCCATCCCCCGTCACGCTTCTCCTCGCAAGTTTTTATAAACTTTTTTTCTCTCCATGATGACAAGTTTTATCCCAGCTCACTCTGAGAAAAATTAATATGAAGAGTTTTACAGCTCAAAAATCTGATAAGTGGAAAATAGTTATGAGAACGTAGCAGATGCGAAAAGGATAGTTTATCCAAAGGGATGGGAGGATTGTACATTTGGCGTTTTTCTTTTGTGTTCCACGTCTAAGAGTTGGCTACGGTTGCCTTCGTTGCCGTCCTTACCTTCTCGTTTGCCCATCCATTGGCCGATGGCCTACTCACCCCCGCACTGTTCCTCCCTGCACATCCACCCTGCAGACAAGAAGCTAATCGTGTGGAATATCGACCCCGATGACGAGTCAGGCGAAATAGGAACCGCAAAGAAATCCCTGACAGGACACTCGCAAGCTATCAATGATGTGTCGATTTCCTCGGACGGGTTGTTTGCACTGTCCGGATCATGGGATCACTCAGTTCGCTTATGGGATTTGTCATGCGGAGAAACGATAAGGTCATTCATTGGACATACTTCTGATGTTTTTAGTGTCTCCTTCAGTCCTGATAACAGACAAATCGTTTCCGCGAGTAGAGATAAAACAATTAAGCTCTGGAACACCTTAGCTCAGTGTAAGTACACCATAACTGAAGAGCAGCATACCGACTGGATTACTTGCGTCAGATTTTCTCCTTCACCAAAACAAGCCATTATTGTTTCCTGTGGATGGGATAAGTTAGTTAAAGTATGGAATTTAAAAAATTGTGATTTGAATAAAAACTTGGAAGCACACACTGGTGTGCTAAACACAGTAACCATTTCTCCAGATGGCTCATTATGTGCATCCGGGGGAAAGGACGGAGTAGCAAAATTGTGGGATGTGAACGAAGGAAAGCATTTGTACTCATTAGACACTGGGTGTACAATAAATTCACTCTGTTTCTCTCCATGCGACTACTGGCTCTGTGCCGCAACGGACAGATTTATAAGAATATGGAACTTGGAAAGTAAGCTAATCATTTCGGAAATATACCCAGTGAAACAATCCAAAGTTGGATTACCCTGGTGTACTTCCATCACTTGGTCTGCAAATGGCCAATTCTTATTTTGTGGTTCCACGGATGGAAATATTTATGTTTATGAAGTGAAGAAACAATCCATTTAGGGGGAAAAAAAAATTGTAAAAGAAAAAAAA